CTCCCGAATTCTAACTTTATCAACCCGTAACATAGCGCTGTTCTCACCAATGCCTTAGATGAACACCCACTTCACCTTGACATGGTAGGTCCCACTGGTCAGGACCTCCCACTGAAACTCCAGGAAATTCATCGAGTAGTCATCAATGAGCTGACGATTGATATTCAGAGTATAGGACTTTAAAATTACTAACTGTTGTCAGTCAAACTTATTAACTAAGATACTAAACATACTTTAGCCTCACTGGACTCACTGCCTTATAGCAATAGCCAGTGAGACAATTTAAGATGGAAAGTGTTACGATGGAGTTTTACTGGTTTGTTGGGACTAGAATGCACCGCCAGACACGACACTATAACCAATTGATCACTGAAAATATCCCCACACTCAAATAGACACAAAAGTCAGACTGGGAAGAACGATAACCGAAAACGAAATAACAATACCAGCAACAATCACGACAATGTTTATAAACAAAATGCACAGTATATTAAATTTACAAAACCTCAAGAATTTAAGCCATAAATATATAAACAAATGCGATTGGTTGTATGACCTCAGAAAATTAATCCATAAATAAACGAATCAAAAACTATCCAATCAGGTTATCTTGTGTCAGTGCATGCCTAAATAATAACTTCAGAGAAGCTTGTCAATCCCAATAGAAAGGTATACAAAAAAAGCAAAGATTTGACATCATGATAAAATGTGACGGTGTGATACAGACAATGTTTGCCGACGGAATATTATTCCCACATATTCCCACAGTTCAATCCGGCACAAGCAACAGAATACTATGTATATTTAAATATTCTATTTCATTTCACCAAGAAACTTATGCCCTTCCAACCTTAATTTTATTTTTATATTTAGTTTCCTGTATTTTACCTTTGCTCACCTTGACTTCTTAACCTTCGACAGCCTTTCGCCTTTGTTTGGATTCCTAGCCTATCTGTGTCGTTTCGAGATGTTAGTGAGTAACCCTCAAAATGGCTGTCCCCAATGTGACATCTAACACAGGTATCCTGAAACCGCGTGCCGCGTTCAAGCTGGCCACTTACAATGTTCGGACGCTGATGCAAATCTGACAACAGGCAGGGTTGGCAAGAACGTTGAAAAGCCTCGCTATCGATGTCTGCTGCATTTCGGAGACTCGCATTCAAGATCCCAGTGAAGTGCTTCGACTATCCTCTCCATCTGGAAGTTCTAGTAGTATGTACCACCTGCGCTTGTCCGGGGACCCTGTGGCATCGGCATCCGGCGTAGCTGGTGTTGGCGTCGCACTGAACGCTAGAGCCGAAGCTGCACTGCTCGACTGGATTCCCATTAACAGTCGTTTATGTGCTGTGAAGCTGGAAGGTTATACGAAAGTAAGGAGTAGTAGGCCAGATAGGCGGTGTCTATTTGTTGTCTCTGCCTATGCACCAACGGATTGCAGCCCGGATGCAATGAAGGACGAGTTCTACCACCAACTTAGCGATCTCTTGAGACAGGCGGGTCGGAGGGATATCATAGTGCTGGCTGGGGACTTGAATGCACAGGTCGGGCGTCTGAGCTCAGAGGAGAATCGTCTAGGTGGTCAATGGGGACTACATGGTCGCAGGTCAGATAATGGGGACCGTCTTCTGCAGCTTTGCGCGGATCAAAACCTATTTCTGGCCAGCACCAACTTCTGGCACAACCATCGCCGTAGCTCTACCTGGCGTCCTCCCTCTGCGAACCAAGCTTGGACTCAGATCGATCATATTGCGATCAGTTTCCGGTGGCGAGGATGCATACAAGACTGTCGCTCCTTCTGGAGCACATGCCTAGACTCCGATCATGCGTTAGTGCGTGCTAAGTTCGTCTTGCGATTTGGTGGGGTTCATAAAAGGCGTCGTCTAAACGTTGATGTGAGCAAACTAGTAGCACCTGCTACTTGTTTGAAATATCAGAATGAGTTACAATCAATGCTTGCTAGCAACCCCCCAAGTAGTATAGATGAACATTGGCTCCATCTGCAAGGTGCCATGCAAAGGGCGAGTGTAGCCGCTTGCGGCTTGAAAGAATGCTCCTCCAAAAACCACTGGGTTTCTGCGAGTTCCTTGCAACTCATGGATGAACGCCGGTCCATTCCGACTGGCAGCGAATACAGCAATAAGCGAAAGTCGCTGACGCGCAAGATAAGAAAGTGTTTACGTAAGGACCGCGAGGCCTGGTGGTCAGAACGTGAGGGTGAGATGGAGGCAGTTGCTGCATCTGGCAACAGTCGGAAGCTGTTCCAACTCATCCGAGCCACCGGCAGCAAGAAACAAGGTGTCAGCGAGACGGTCTGTGAGGCAGATGGCACTCCAATTACCAGTTTGAAAAGACGCCTGGAACGCTGGGCAGAGCACTTCGGGAAACAGTTTAGCTGGCCACCAGCTTCAATGTCTGCTGTCATTAGCCCCAGTGCTCCTTGGTCGGTTAATACTGACCCACCCACCGAAGCGGAGGTCCGTAAGGAACTCCAAGTGTTAAAACGCCATAAGGCGCCCGGCCCAGACAATTTACCCCCGGCTCTTTTTAAAGATGGTGGCGAGACTCTCACAATGGCTCTAACTGGGTTGTTCAAGAAGGTATGGGAAACTGAGAGTGTACCATCAATGTGGAACGAAGCCATCATCGTCCCTATCTTTAAAAAGGGTCGACGTAATTCGTGTGACAATCATAGGGGTATCAGTCTGCTACCAGTCGCGTCTAAATTATTGGCTTCTGTCTTGCTTCGCAGGCTGTGCAAAATACGTGATGGATTGATTCGCGAAGAGCAGGCTGGGTTTCGTTCAGGTCGTGGATGCATTGATCATGTGTTCACCCTTCGTCAGTTGTTGGAACACCGCCACACGTATTGCAGGCCAACGATCGTTGTGTTTCTTGATATTAAGGCTGCCTTCGATTCGTTGGACAGAACTGTGCTCTGGAACTGTCTGTTAGAGAGAGGTGTAGCTGAGAAATTTGTTAACATCTTGAAAGCCCTATACAGAAATACCTCAGGTAGAGTGAGGGCATACAACCAACTATCATCACTGTTCCCAACCAACAGTGGGGTTAGACAGGGTTGCCCAATCTCTCCATTTCTCTTTAACTTTGCCATCGATGACATTCTGGAGTCAGCTCTGAAGGATGTGCGTGAAGGTGGTGTAGATCTGCTACCTGGAGATAGACTTTTCGACCTCGAGTATGCAGACGATATCGTCTTACTGTGCGATAGCATGCAGGCTGCCCAAATCGCACTTAATCAGTTGGCGATCAGTGTCTGTAAGTATGGTATGTGCTTTGCACCGTCTAAGTGCAAAGTACTGTTACAAGATTGGCAGGAGCCTGTACCTGCACTCACTCTTGCGGGTGAACCGCTTGAAGTTGTTGATAAGTTTGTGTACCTGGGTAGTTGTGTGAGTGCTGGCGGAGGGGTGACGGATGAGATTTCCAACCGTATAATGAAGGCTAGGGTGGCATACATCAACTTGTGCCACCTCTGGCGCTGTCGCGACGTTAGCCTGGCTGTCAAAGGTCGGGTATACAATGCTTCGGTGCGGGCTGCCTTGCTCTACGCCTGTGAAACCTGGCCTCTCCGAGCTGAGGATGTGCGGCGACTCTGCGTGTTCGATCATCGCTGTCTCCGCAGGATTGCTTGCGTTCGATGGCATCATCGCGTGAGTAATTCTGAGGTTCGGCGGCGTGTGTTTGAACACAGTGGAGATCACCATTCATTGAGTGTCGTCATCTGGAAACACCAGCTCCGGTGGCTTGGACATGTGCTGCGAATGTCATCCCAGAGGCTTCCGTACAGGTCTCTGTTCGCTATCCCTGGGACGGGATGGAAAAGGCGGAGGGGTGGTCAGTCCATGACGTGGCGTCGTGGGATGAAGGATATTTGTGCTAGATTAGCATCGGTTGGTGCGTCACGACTCCCTGGTTGGGGTCCGCGAGATAGCTCGAATCGATGGCTCGAAACGTTATCGGATATGGCCAAGAATCGTAATCAATGGCGAACGTGTTGCAATTTCCTTCTTTCTTCCCTTCCTGATGATAGTTAACTAATATTGTTTGAACTTGTTAAACATGACTGTTTTCCTTCCTGATGAAGTTCTTTATTCGTTTTCTACCTATATTTTTATTTTTAATCTATGTTGTTTTATTATTATTGTGTGGCGCATCTTTCTTGGTGCCATATTGTACCAAGTTTTTTCTGCGTTTAAATAAATAAATAAATAAAATATCGTTTAATGTAAACCAAAATCCCACGCTCAGTGATTGGTTAACGAGTATAAACTATATATATATATATATATAAACAGCGGTTTAATCACATGAAAATACACCTTGGCTCCAGTGTCTTGCCTTCTGTTGTTACAAAACAACCATAGATAGGTTTTTTAAGCATAAAAAGGTGATGATGTCTTTTATTGCGACAGATTTCATTGTCCATACATCCTTCTTCTGTAATTTCTATGCTTTCTCTATGTCTTTGATTAATAATCGTCAAGGATAACCATAAGTGTATAATATCAATAGGAGCCGACTTTCTTCCAATTACCCGATCATGAATTCACGTATCAGATCATACTAAAGGTGCACTGATGACGTACGGTTTTATTCTAGTACAAATAACACTGAAGTGTTTTGAATAAGGACACACTTGTATAGACTTAAAAATAAGCAATTTCAGTGTTCCTTTTCTATCGCCTTCTCAAATGTGTTGCTTAAGTTCTTATTTTTTTTTCAAGATTGGGAATGCTTACGTAATCGATGCTACTAAAGAAGAAGAGGCGTGTTCATTATCCAGGTTGGTATATTCATCAAATGTGTTTGTTCATTCAATAAAATGATGATATTTCAGGTTGTCTGTTGTTATATACCCTGACGGGTCATTAGGATCTATAGAACGTGATGGATGTTCTAGTTGTCATTTGGAAACAATTATTAAGATGTCAGAGGTAAACATATTTGTTTTGCATTTCATTAACTCACTTTTATTACAGCTTGCAACCACAGTTGGAAAGGAATTAAATCAGGCTTTGATAAACACACTGGAATTAGAGAAACAATTGCGTTCCACATAGAAAAAAATATAGTATCTTTGTATATATGGTATACTTAAATGTCTTTTCATCATTGTTCCCAGTGTTATGCAAGAGAATATGATCACTGTTTGAAAGTATCCATTGGATTCCAACTTAAGCAATTCGAAATAACCTATTGCTTTTACTAATAACATAAAAAAAGTTGTTCAGCACATGTACGGTATTTTGTCGTTACGCAGTAATGAAATATGATATGTTAACTGATGATAAGATATCGTTGTCCTATTTTGGTTTCATACTGTACCATACCAATCAACAATAACAACAAGCAGTACCAATCACTATCAACGGGAAAAAATTTTCAGAGGTTGCTTCCTTCACTTATCTAGGAAGCGTTATTTCATCTACAGGTGGAACGGAGGGGGATGTCATAGCGAGGATGGGAAAGGCAAGACAAATCTTCATCACTCTGTGATCAGTTTGGAAATCTTCTGCATTCAACATAAAGAAGAAGATTCAGATTTTCAACCCAAATGTTAAGTCCGTTACTTCTATATGGGTCAAAAACTTGGAGCGTCACGAAAACCATTTCTAACAGATGACTACAGACTTTTACCAACAACTGCCTCCTTATTGAAGATCAAACGGCTAGTCAGAAAGAAATGGCACCAAGAAACTCTGGGAACAAACTGACCAAGAGCCGATTGCTTTTTGAGCAGGAGAAAATGGAGATGGATAGGGCACATGTTGGAGAGACTGTCGAATAACATCGCGCGCCAGGCCCTCGAGTGGAACCTGAATAGACAACGTCGAGTGGGCGTACGGGAGTGACATGGAGGAGATCAGAGACTATGGGCAACCGTGAGGCCAGCTAAGGAGGACTGCAGAAAATAGGACAAAGTGGAGACGTGCTGTTGAAGCCCCATATGTTCTACTAGGAACTCAAGGGAATAATAATAGCAATAAATACAAAATATAGTGTTTCATAGGTTACAAAAACTACCAGGATTATATACTGTAAATGAACACAACTGCTGTAAAAGTTAGTCCCTTTGGTAAATTTAAACAAGGTATTAAGAAAACAAATATCGCAAGATGATATCACTTCGTAGTTCCTCTACAACTGCTTTACAACTAGCATGGTTCACGATAATAAAATAAAAAAGTATGACAATTACTCAGTTATATATAACAAAAGTACACACTAATAGCCAATCATATTTTAGTAGGTCAAGTAGTCCATGGCTGACAAAGGTTTAATTTGAAATGGATGATGATGGATTTCTATTCAGATTAATTATATTTGGGTTTTCTGTGTGACTTAATAACTATTTAGGGACATGTTCTTTCCGACAAAATTGGAACATTCTATTGGTTCTACCTATATATATTTGTCACCGGAACTACAGGTGAACTTGTAGATACAGTGTGAAGTACAGTCGATAGAATTTCGTCCTTTAGTCATTGTTACAGGAGTCAAAAATGTTCGAGATGTAAGGAAAAGGGATACAGCATAGTGTACGCTTGATAGGTCACCGAAGCCTCTGAGCTCTCAACTGGTTAATTTGATGATCATCTTTGAATGGTAGTCTAGTAGAGTTAGCTTTCTTTGGTACTAAAGGTGTTCACTTTGGGATCCAATGAAGTCTTCCGGATATTTATTAGCTTATAAAACTGAATGTTTGCACCCTTGCTCATCCATTGTTGTGTCGCTCGTGCAAATTTTACGGGCCCTTGAAAACAGGCATTTCACCAGGGATCATTTATACTGGATGAGAAGAAAACTGCTAAAATGGAGAAATTGTCCACTCCATATCTGCTTGGGAGATAAGAATCGCTTAATTGTTCCGTCGTCCCTACTAGTCATTGAAAAATCCAAGAAATTCAGTTTGTTATTCAATTCGAATTCTAAAGTCACTCGAATATTTGAACAAATAGAGTAACACAGTTGTCAGTCAACTCAATAAAGTCACCAATACGTTTGCTGGTATAACACCCGCTTCTTTCTCCAATTGCGACATATATACATCTGCTAACAGGAGCCCGAAAGGGCTCCCCATTCCCATACCATGAGTTTGTATTCTTTTCCTTGAAAACCGAACCTGACACATGACATACCTGATGTAAATGGCAGGCAAAGGTAATCCTATTCCATGGCTTGTGATGTAATCACAAATAAAACCAACAGACTCGTGTAGTAGAATATCCGTGAACAAAACAACCTGGGAAGCCATAAAATTAAAAACCTCCTTTTTAAATCTATTGATGCATGATAAATTTTTTTAATTTAAGCGAATGCAGGTGTTTTTGGAAACTCCGTTACATGGAACTGTCCGATTGAGTTTCAACATAAAACTTTGCACCAAAGTGCAACAGATGAAGTTGCCACACTCCATGTAGCACAGAGACATAAAAGAGAAAAAGAGTCTGCAATAAGCAGGAAGTTGAGGGAGAAAGACTAGTAACACTGAAAGACATTAAGGTTTAATGGATATGAGAGATCACAAAGAGTGATTGGATCTTCGCCGTTGACAACGAATTTGAGCCATATCTTCAGTAGTCTCTTAGAATTCCGAGGAACCCAACCAGGCATCCTACACCTCTCTACGTGGCTGGAACTAACTGTTAAATATTTCATGGAATGATTCCATGTTTTAGTTTGACCACCAGTAATTCTTTCCCAACCTAATCAAAAATATCGGCTAACATTGTTCGTTGAGGAAGGCGATGGCTAGGTATGCGCAACACATATCCTAGCCATCTTGACTCACTTTCACAACCTTATCGATTGACGTACCCTCCTTACCTACCACGCGACGCCTACTCTCAATGTTACTCGCCTTATTATACCACTTAACACGGAAGACAGAAAGCAGACACCTATGATTGAAAAGAGCTAACCTTTTAAAATTATGTGTCAAGCTGTGAGACTAATAATACTACCCAACTGCCCATGTTGAAAGTAGGGTTTGGCACTTGAAACCCATTGGCTGGATGTCAACTGCTTAAACCCTATCACTGGGTAAATGTTGATATTCAGGAAACAGTATTAGTGTAGGCAGTCATTCTCATGTTACTCGTGCTGGTAGTCATCCAAAGTCGAAGTTTATACACCTAACGCTTAGTTTGCTTCAGGAATAATGTTTTCATAATTCAGTATTTATCATAAAATTATAATAGATTTTTGTGATCGAATGAACACATTTCATGAGGTACCTCGAAAGTACATTTAAAAAGTTACAGATCGTAATATTCATAATTTTATTAACAATATTTAGTATATACACTAAACTATACAAGGAATCACATTGCGCGTTTTTCAATTGATTTCTCATCAAGATAATCAATCTTTTTCCAGTGATCAAGTCTTTCAAAATAACGCTCTCTTCGTTTACGTTCACGTTTTCGTGCAATATTTCTCTCTCTTTCCAGTTGTAATAATTTCAAAGTTTTTTGACTCCACATACTTTCATCTGATTCTGCATAACTTTTTATCACCTTTGGAGTAAAATGTTCACTAGTCAGTGTTGGAACTTCTCGACCTAATGGATCGACTTTTTCAACAACTGTTGGACCAATCCATTCGCCTTTTTCTAATTCATCAACAGCACGATTACGTTCTTCTACAACCATTAAGAGATTCTCCATACTTTCTTCAACCTGATATAAGAGAAAAGTAAAAATAAGATTATTATTTTAACTCTGAGTTTAGTTTACGGTTAATAGGTACACAAACTTAATCTGAAGTAAGGTAAAAAGACAAAATATCTGATTATAATCATTAGTGTGTTTTAAATGTAAAATCAATGACATTTGATACATTTTAAAGTGTATGACCCCTGGTGTGACAGTTACATTGGACTTGAAGGTAATACCCACCTACCCTATCAGAACATTGGAGAGAGAACAGAACAAGAAGTCCAGCAAAAATTTCTTTTCGTCGATTTCATCCTCAAAAGATGGAAAGTCGCATTTTTATGCATCACTCAGAGTCATTTGCAAAGTGAACAAATATCTCGACAAAGCAATAAGAAGACGCAATGTGTCTGAATCGTGTAATGCATTTGCGCAACATATTTCGAACAATCTGATTACACACGGAGGTGAGAAAATAAATTCAGGTTGATCTAAAAGGATATTGAAGGTCAAAGTAACAAAGAAGACCACTAAACCAAAATAAGAGAAGTAATAGTATATCTGCTATGGCATCAAAACAAAGTTTATCAAGGAAGGTTTAGTGTGATGACAAATTGTTTTTTAGCGCATAAAGGTGGTGTAAACTTTCTAATTGCCAGGGTTTCCACAAACTTTAGGATACGTCCTAAACTCGTTTTATAGATAGGTTTAAAAGACTACCAAAGGCAGTGTGTTTCCAACTTCTTTGTACAGCAAAAGCCCTCACCATATGCATTGAAAATAAACTTGTCCGACCCCTAGATTTACCATAGATCTAGTTTTCTTTTTTCTATCATTACGGAACTAATTTTCTAATCCTATGTGATTTTCTTCCTAGGCCCCTTGTATTTTATATTCGTACCTTCAAATATTCATATCTAGTTGAAAATTATTATCACCTTTAATCTCCCTTCGTTACTATTGTTGAATTAAATAATAGTTGTAACTATTTAAACTTAAGTATAAATATGCGGTTGTACATCTTACAAGAATGATATCACTGAAAAGATATCTTTGTTGAACTTCTTGTTCATTTCTTTCTAATAGACTGGTAGTTAACAACACTGTATACCTTAACAAAGCTCCGGCTGTTTGAGAGAATTTTTATGGCTTCTAATGTTTGGAGTACTTGGTACCTAGTAGCTTTTGGCAATTTACTAGACATGTCATAGACAATAGTGAAGGATTCTTCAATAGTTGCTTTATCATCTATTTTGCTTAGGTGCACTAATGCTTTTTATCAGAGTTTCATCCTTCTGTACTTGGAAATATATCCAAGCACAAGAAAGCCAAGTTCCTAGAGCAACAGCTGATGAGGTATCCACAGCATGAGCGTGGAGAAAACATGAGTTGCAATTTACCAGACTTCCTTAGCTTTTTAATTGCTTCTTTTGTACTTTCATTACCAGGAGCTTTCTTGTAAGCTTATTCCGATAGTTATTTTCAATTAAGGTATTGTATCACATTTGAACACATAACTCTCACTCTATAGCTGAGCGTCTTCACCGAATTTCTTTAGTATTGAAGGGAAAGGGA